CACTTGATTTAAACAGTGTTTTCTGAACCCATGCCCTCATAGCAGTTGTAGTTGCCTGTACACGACCTGTACAATATTGAGTCAGGCAGCATTCCAACATAAAGTGGGGAGGAACTCATGAGCCCCACTCACCTTGGCTGGAAGCTATTGACAGCTGATGACTTCTGGGGAGGGAGAATCAGTTTTCTTTAAGCATGTGACCCTCAGGTAGGGTGGCCTTGCTCCAGTGGCCCAACACTAATATCCATATGGGCAACACAAATTAGCACTGGGAATGGCAAACCAATGACTACCTCAACTTGAGACCCACCCCGTGGGAGAGAGCTGACTCCTGTCACTATTAATAATACTCTGCTATGCTTGCACACAGGTGCCTAGCATAACTATCTTTTAAGAGGTTTCATCCAGCAGTTGATGGAAACAGATGCAAATACCCACAGCCAAACAATAGGCAGAGCTCAGGGAGTCCTATGGAAGAATTGGGAAAATGACTGAGGGAGCCGGAGGAGTCAAGGACACCATAAGACCTACAGAGTCAACTAACCTGGGCCCATGGGGGCTCACAGAGTCTGAACCACCAACCAAAAAGCAGACATGGGCTGGACCTAGACCCTCACACATATGTAACAGATGTGCAGCTTGGTCATCACGTGAGTCCCCTAACAATGGGAGTAGGGGCTGTCTTTAACTCTGTTGCCTCCTACTGGATCCCTTCCCCCTAGCTGGGTTGCCTTGTCTGGCCTCAGTGGGAGAGGATGCTTTTAGTCCTGCTGTGGCTTGACATGCCCTTGGGGTAGTCTCCCCCTCTTTGAGAAGAAAGGAGTGGGAAAAGGAAACATAAGGGAAGAAGTAAGAGAAGAGGAGGAAGGGGACTGCGACCAGGCTGTAAAGTGATTAAATTGAATAAAAAGATACAAAGTTGAGAGAGGGTATGGGGGTATGCATCTGGGAGGAGTTAAAGAGAGGAGTATAATGAATATAATCAAAATACATTGTATGTATGCATGATAATCTCACAAATTAATAGGAATACTGTTTTAGATAATTTTTTTTTTAAATCATGGTCAGAAGCCTCTTCAGCCCAATCTAACTCTTAATGTTCTTCATAAATGCAATTCATGCATTTACTTATCGGCTTGGTTTTTGAAATGTTCTACAGTAAAACAGCTGTCTCAGTCGCCCTGTCTTAGAGCTGACTACATGTGTTCCACTGGAGATAACGTGTTCAGCTAAGTGAAGACTCTATTATAATGAGACCGTTACAGTAACTGTAGAGCTCTGACAACAGCATCTTCAGTTCACCTTTTAAAGTGAACCCTTAGGCTCCTTCTCACCACATGATCCCAGCAGGAGTTACTTTCATACACACCAAAGGTTAGGAACTAAATCAGCAGGCTACATTTTAACTGCCTGTTCCAGAAAACAAGGCCCAGACAGGGAGGCATGAGCTAAAGACTATCATCAGCTGCTCTCCTGGCTGTGACATGTAATGCAGGATAGTTACAGCAATTCCTTACTTGTGGAAATCCTAACCACATTTACAAATTCAGTGTTCAAATATATAAGGAACACTAGTAATCAAACATAAGTTAATTAAAACTGCTTATTTGTTATCATATTTAATAAAACTGGACATAATGACATTGTATATCATTTTTCCTGAGAAATTTTCAGTGTGGATTTTGAAACAACTTTTACTATAATTAGATATCATAATTAGGATTTATATATTACACTTCTGCTTTACATCTGCCACTGATAAATATCTGGGAAAACATCATTTACTTCCATGTAACAGCAAGAAACACAAAACCGGTGAAGCCCATAGTAAAAAAAAATATGTTTACTCAAATACAAGTCTCTTCAAGAAACACCTATTTCTAACAAAGTCCATGCATCAAGATGCAACAAAAGAGAATAATCTACCTTATTTCCTGCCACATGATAGATTACTGGACTCAGATGAGGAATAGCTGCAGATACCTAAATTATATACAAGCTCATCTGAAAGGCTATTTTTGTTTCGGTATCATAAATACTTTTTGTAAGTCAGCATTTGGACCTTGCAAAACTAGTAAGTTATAAAGTATAATGGTTTCCAAGATAAAAATAAAAGTAATTTTAAAACATAATTAGCAAACGTATTTCAAAGTCAGTTGCTTGCATTTGAAGGAAAACTTCTCTGGGACTTCGTGTGAAGAGTAATGAGAAACAACCTCCACTTATCTTCTCAACTAAGCACAAAAAAGAGCATGCTGGTGATTATATGAGATAACGTTCTTCAAAACAGAGAAGGCTGGGCATCTACAGGGGCTAGGTTTACTGCTCTGATTTCACCCTTTGCAACCATCTCCTCTAGACACACTCAGAGTGTTTTAAATTAAGCAGTAATCTATTACTTAAAATAAGAGCATCCACAATGCCAAAATAGGGATTCTTTTTAACCAAAGTCTGACCACACAGCAGAACAATGCATCTTATCATGGAAGCACAGCAATGCTCTTATAGGTTTTAAAGGGCTGAATGCAAAAATCTTATGATTGCTACATACAATAAGCTATATTAGTTCATGTCTTAAAATGCCTGCTCAAAATAACCCTCACAGCTTCTTTGTAGCAAGTGATAAGCTTATTAAGTTATTTAGTGGACATTGTTCAATGAATACATTTCCCCCATTCAAATGTAGTAAGCTATCTGAGAGTAATGCTTCAATGAGCATGTTATGTCACATCATGAATCGTGAACTATAGACTGCATCAACAATAGCAGCTGAAGATTTTTGAAAGAAAACAGCTACAAGACATGTTCATTTTTTTAAGCAACCGTATCATCAAATTAACCATGGTACTCTGGATTCAGTATACTTTCAATTCATAATTAAAATCATCCTCTTCACTAAACCATCATTAAGACACAGAAAAGCTGTATGTTAGGTTCTATATTCTGTTCTGCTGCATCCCCAGTTCTCCTAATGACAGATGCTGTGGACTCATCTCACAGGAGCAAAGGAAACCAAGTTGAGGTCAGAGCTTCTTGTGAGAGGCGAGACAGAGAGAAATTTTCACAGCTAGGGATGTGGTTAATGCATCCTCTCCTCTGGTCTTGGCCTTTTTTTCAGCTGGTGCATCACAACTCTGCTCTTCAGCAGGGGCACACTCATCTGTATCTCACCTTCTTAAAAATCAAAGCCTCAATCCTAAAGCCTTAACACAAGCATTACAAAGTAACACTCTAGTTTGCATTTCCCATAATACTAAAATAAGGCTTTATCTCTAGTCTAGAACTTTGCTTTTTTAATACTACAGAAAGCCTCCATGAATCTGTTTAACGTATTTACTCTTTTCATCTATTCAGTGCCACTGGGCATAACACGCATTGCAGTGCGTGCCGCTGTCTTACACGGCGCCACATGATTCACTGTACCGCAGCGCATTCCACTAATCCTGTTTGGACAGCTGGGTCCAAGAGCTTCTCAGCTGCATTTTAATTGTTCCATCTTTTTTTTTTTTCTTTTTATTTATCTCTATGGCAAACTACTCAGGAATTTAATTTGTCAGGCTTCAAAAAGTAAATTTTGCCATTAATTTGTTTTCTTTGTATTAAGCCTATAATCAGCAGGTGATTTTCTCCCACAAAATTGAAATACATTAATGGTTATCAATTACTCTTAAATAACAAAGCACAATAAATAAGATTTGCAAAGGTTTAAAATGGAAAGGTGGCTGATCACTACCATTATCTGCTGGACCGTCCTAACAGATGAAACATTTAGCTTCAAATGGTGTCACTAATGTAGATGATTCATGTTTCAATATTCACACACCATAAGCAAATGCATCCTACCAATCAAATAAAGAGACATACTCACTAAATATGGCCTGTGGAATAGAGGTCTCTCTCATACTTATACTTTAATTCTATGCTTTATTAAAAGATAGAAGACTATAAAATTTATGAAGAAAACTACAAAGCGCCCACTTTCTGATACAGCTGCAACACTGATGGCATGAACCTTAAATCAATAATGGAGGTGGTGTTTGGAGTAGAGCAAGCCCCAGGCCTACAGCTTCTACTGAAGCCAAGGACGAAGTTCCTAGATGGAATCTGTCTGGTCATTTTCTAATCATTAATTTACAAAGTTAACATCTAAGTCTAGAGAATTATATATAATTGCCTAAAAGAAACTTCTGCCTAAAATAATATTTAGCTACAAACACAGTCTAGAATAGTGCTTTATAAAGAAGGCCAAATGACTTATGACCAACAACTTTAGTAACAAAGTAGAATTCTTTCTTTCACTTTTAAAAGATAGAAACAAACAAACAAACAAACAAACAAACCTGTCTATACATTGACAATTTAAGGAAATACTATGATTGGCAGGCAAATGGAGACCACAGGACTAAAAGTGTCTTCTGAATTGCTATGTGCTCCCAGAGACAGCATGATGTCACCATCATGCTAAGCTCTATGTTCATGAACACAGAGCAGCTTAAAACTAGTTTACAAATTTCTACTTTTAAAAAGCACACGTTAAACTATATTCTTGGAAATATATTTCATATATGAAAAACTTTTAATATTTTCTAGGCATTAAAGTGTTTTTTAAAAGTCACAGTTTTCTCACTAGAAGATTCAAAAGTCCAAGTTGTGAATGTGGTAAAAAAAAAAAAAAGTCTATTGTTTAGGAAAGGAATGTTTTAAGTGCTTAAAAAATAAATGGCCTTTGCTTAAAAAAAAAAAAAAAAAAAAAAAAAAAAATTATTTTTATAAAAACAAATATTAAAAAAAAAAAAAAAAAAAAGGCCTTTGCTTAAAAAAAAAAAAAAAAAAAAAAAAAGCACTTGCTTTGGTACGGCCCTATATACAAATGCAGTATAGCATAATGTAAGAAGTATTATATTTTAAAAAAGAATTCACAAAGCAAAAGTTAAAGAAATTTAATAAAGCTATCTATAAAGACATGGATTTTTTAATGAGCATTTCTCAGTCAAACTTACCCAGTGTTCTTGACATCACAGGCAAAGCAGAGCTTAAGACTAAGATTGACACACAATTTCCAATGATCTGTGGAAAAAAAGAAAGGACGCTGTACATTGAAACAGCAAGTGGCAAAGAGCCCACTCACAGCACTCTGGGAAGCTACAGTGCAAGACAGATACCCAGAGCACTTGGCAACTTCTTAATGACATGACCATTAGAGCAGAATTCAGAAATAATGAGCCTTTCCATTTAAAGTTATATCTATAAATTCTACAAAATACTTATAAGTATAAGCATAAAGTCATAGAACATATAAATCATACACATTTTATATTATTGATATGGTTGTTGATTTGAAAGTTTTGCCTATGAAATAAAAAAAAAAAAAAGAATGCCTTTGACTTCTGACTAAATCTTAAAGGCTGAGTGATGCCAAGTTCTTATATCTACTCTGACTGGTTTAACCACCGTAAGAGTCAATTCTTAGATCTGAAAACACTAGAAACAAAAATATGTAAACTCCAGTAATTCATTTTCAAAATATCGTCTACTTACTCTTTCACCTTAATAACAGGCACTGAAAATACTGATTAGTAGTTATAATCACCTAAACTAGATACTGGGTGGAAGGATGGATAGATATCCCATATATGTAATATATATTATAGAGGGGGTTTTTTTTGGCACACTTACACACACACACACACACTTAAAGAGGCTATAAATGTAGACTACATAATAAAAGGAGAAGCAGGCCAACAGCTTTTAGCCATTCTTCTTAGGCAGCCTGTAAGAATATTTTACAACGATCCATTTATTATGTAAGATAACAACCTTTGTTTTCTGGAGCCAGTGACACACTATATAAAGTCAAATTAGCCTCAAAGACACACTCTCTCTTCCTGGACAGAGCTCTTCCTTCTCACTTTAATTATTAAGAGTTGAAATATTTTGTCTCTACTACTTGTAGCAACTAAGCTCTTCAGATTTCAAACAAGCTCCTGAAGTACAGTTAGCACAGTCTAAGTTACTCATTAGCAACACATTTTCTTTAAGAGGAAAAAGATCCTTTCAGGAGACTTCCACAGCTAGTTACCAAGTTCTATAGTTCTATGCATTTACAAGTGAATGGACGCAGTCCAAATTATACAGAGCATATCCTTTCCCACTCACTCAGCATTCTGAAAATCTTTCTTTGTTTGTCTGCTACTTACAAATACCTATCAGCCTAAATGAGCCATTCTGGGTGATTACTAACTAAAACACTTGTTTGTCTTGGAAGCAAAAGAAAAGCCACCAGCACCTAAGACTTTACCTTACCTTTGTCATAGTTGTGTCATCCTTCTTGGGTGTAAAGTTTCCAAAAAATCTGAGGCTATAGAAACCAACAACAGAAGACACCATGAGATAGCTTTGTGAATAAAGGAAAAATTCTCCAAGAGAAGACACATTTCCCAAAGTCTAAAGCCCACAAAAAAATCAAAACAAAATAAAAAGCCAGAGGCTTGAAGAGGACTGGCTTGTTTTTTTGTTTGTTTGTTTGTTTTTCTTCTAGGTAAGTTTCTTAGTAAATTACCAATGTAATTATTTAGTAAATTACCAGAAACTAGACAAAAAATTGTTAACAGACATAACTTTCAGCTGAAGAAAGGATACAAAATCAGAATGATTTCAAGTGCAGCTCCCACAAAGCCAAAAGTGGAGAGAGAGGCGCTTCCTATCCCAGGCCCCTGCAGGGAAGACACTCCTCAGAATCCAGTGTTACCATTACACAAGACAACTGAATTAGTAACATTTAACACCTTAAGATAAGATGAATCCCCCAAAGACTTCATCAGAAACTCACCTGCATGTTAATAATTTTAACAGGTTCAAAAATAACTTGGTTTGCCTCAAATGTACTTTTAAGTCATTTGTCAAAATGATACCATTATGATTACTGCTATAAAATAGAACAATCTGCTCTCTGAGAAAACATCTTGAATGTTCTGGGAGGTTTCTTTATTTTTTAACTTTTATTTTATTTTTTAATTCTTTTCTTTAAAAAAAAACTTTTTACTGATTCTTTGTGAATTTCACGACATGCCCCCCAATCCTACTCCCCAAATCTATCTCCCTCCCAAAAATGTCACTATGAAAGCCATAGTATGTCACGGTATGCTCCACGGTATATAACCTTTTGTCCACAGATCCTTACTTGCAAATGTTCATTGCAATGAGTCACTGGCTGGTTCTAGGCTTCTGGCTTCTACTACACTGTCACTCCTCACTGGGACTCCTCTGTGTCAAGGAGATCCTGCAGCTATGGATCTGCAGGATCAAATCCTTCCTGTGCTCCAGTGGATCATAGCTGGGGTAGATGTTGGGGTGGGCCAACTCAAAGCTCTGGATCTGGACCTGGGTAGTAGCTGAGTAAGTCAGCCTAACAGCTCTCCTGCAGTGCCTAGGCAAGGAGCGAGGCCAGCTCACCACTCTCCCATACCTATACCACCAGGGCCAGCTCTATTGTGCTGCCCAGGCAAGGTGCAGGACCCACTCTCATGAGTTCTGCAGCTGTCAAAGGGTGGTACCAGCTCACCTGTTCTCATGCTCTCAAGCCCTCAATACTAGCTCTCCCACACTGCTCAGGCGAGGGGAAGGACCAGCTCTCCCAAGCTCACATCCTGGGGCCCAGGACTGAGGGCCAGTTCTACTCTGGGGAGATATTTTTTGGTTTTGTTTTTGTTTCTTCACTAGAGTAATATATAATCAAGGCAGAAGAAACATATAAAAATTATGTTATAGAACCTGACAAATTTAAGATATACTTACAAATAAAGCAATGTATATAAAATTTTCTTTTCCCAAATTTTCCTTGATAATTCAATTACAAAATTGAATTATCTGGAGCTGGAGTGTGGTGGTGCATGCCTTTAATCCTAGCACTCTAGGATGCAGAGGAAGGTGACTGCTGTGAATTCAAGGCCAGCATGGTCTACAAAGCGAGTCCAGAGTAGCCAAGGCTACACAGAAAAACCTTGTCTTGAAAAACCAAAAAGTGTGACTTGTAACACCTTTTTTAAAAAAATAATTTTAACAAAATAGAAAAGAGTATATAAATTTTCATACATATCATCCCAATCTCAAGACCTACCTTTACCAAGAACTTAGACAAAACAGAAAACAATGTTAAGGTACTAATTATTAATAGCAAACATCACTCCCCACTAAAGTAGGAACAGTATTTTCAAATCTTACAGCTAGAGATTAAAAGATAATCTCTGAATACACAGCACTATTCCCCTGGTCATCTTAAATTACAACAGCAGAGATAAAGCAAAAAATAATAAGCCTAATAAACTAAAAAACAATAGATACTATGTACATCATATATACTTATTTCATATAAGTCTCTGTACTGTGCAGTGAGTGGGTGGCACAAAATTACCCTGCTCCTCTGCTACATTAAAAAGGAGTGAGAGTCAACGGAAGTAACAGAAGCAACTTCCTGCTTGGGGATTGTGACATAAGAAACAGACAAAGCCAAGGCTACACAAAGAGGAGTGCTCAGTGCAGAAGGCACCCCACTGAGAGCTGCCCAGTAAAACAAGGGTGATAAAAGGTGGTAGGAGGTCCCAGTCATGATAATGGTTAGGAATGTCAAGAAAATGGCTGAAGGAACTAAAAGCAGGCTATATTTTCATCTCAGATGAAAGGAAAGGCATTAAGACAGGGACTGACTTTTTTTGTAAAAGAAAAAAATGGCAACATCTGGCTTAGAATGAAAAGTGACATAGTAACTCAGGAGGGTTTTAAAGTCACCACTATGAGGACTGGAAAAGCTGCTGACTTAAGAAAACAAAATTAACTTCAAAATGTAAATCAATACCACTTTATATATTCAAAAGCTGCAGGTCTGGTGGTCCACACTTATAATCCCAGTACTCAGGAGGTAGAAGCAGGAGGATCAGATGTTCAAGACCTTCTTTGGCTTCATAAGGAGTTTGAGCCCAGGCCGAGCTACATGAGATTCTGTTCCAAAGCATAAACACACATACACGTGTGTGTACATGTGTGTGTGTGCATAGGCACTCCTGCGCGTGCGCATGCGCAGGAGTGCGAGCACACACACACACCCGCAGCAGCAGAAATGGGCTGTTTCCAAACTTTATGGACAGCTAGAAAAAGTGTTACAAGGTAAATATAGTTGCACAAATGTGTAACCTCAGCACTTAGGAGGCTGAGGAAAGAGCATTGCAAAAGAATGACAAAAGACAGTATGTCAACTATAAATATTTAATAATAGATATCTTCCTGATGGAATGTATACTTAAAATAGTATAACTGCTAGAGTCTAATAAAATCATCAACTTTTTTTAATTTGGGATTATTTTTGAGACAGAGTCTTAATGTGTGGCTCAGGCTGGCTTGAACTCAAACTCACAATATTCAGCCTCATAGATGCTAGGATTCTATGCAATTCTATGCATTGATGACCACTGGAATCATCAATCTTTAGATCAGATAAAAATTAGCTCATGAGAAAAGTAAAACTGGACTATCCTCCATTAACCTACATTTTAATCGAGTTTCAAAAGATGTGTGATATACTGACACACAATTCCCTCCACTTTTTCCAACATATGACAAATTTGTTAAGTCTAGCTGATCTATTCTTTATACATCACTATTTTAGGACATGCATTTTTCTTTTAAGAATTACAAATAAAAAATTGAAAATCCACATCAAGTCTGATATTGAAGTCTATAAATAACCCAGATACTTGAAAAAATACCCTAGAAACCAAAACATGTACATATGTGCGTATGCATGTGTGTGTGTATATATATATACATATGTTTATGAACATGTCTGTGGAAGCCCTTTATTCAGAGAAATAAACAGGGCTTGAAATGTTTACATCCAAGAAGGCACTTCCATGTACTTACACAACATTTTAAGACACACATCTAGAAAGACTTTTGAATGCATTTAACTTTACCCTTGTTCCCTTTGGCATTGCAGTCTCATCAACCAGCAGACAAAGAATATTACACGCCACCAAGAGGACTGAAATGGACTGCAACAGAAAGGGAGTTGTCAGATTTCAGTTCCAATACATGTCAAACGTGTCTTTCAGATTGGGGACAGTATTGTGATGGGTATATACTCAGTAGACTATAGACAAGAACTCCAAGACAAATTCCAAACATTCTGTAAATTTTAATTTCAAGGCTTAAGACAGAAGGTAACAATACAGATGGATTTACCATGCAGACTTCTCAGACTCTACTAAGGTGAGCTTTACCAGAGCTCATCTTAGAAAGGAATCCGACCCCTGCAGCTTTTTGAGCAGCAACCATGCTTTGTTTTCTTAATTCTCCTCAAGTGAAACCTGTAGTGTAGTTGGTGCTGCACGAGAAAGTACAACCTTGAGGACTGATCTAATTGCCATTCATTTCCATTTTTGCTCTGCTGAATTTTTACAAATTGAGACACAGACACACTGTGATTCTGTTAATAGAAACCCAATTTACTGAGAATGGCTGGGCAAAAGAGAACACTAAAGACAATAAACTTTATTCAAGCCAGCAAATAACTTCTTACTGTTTCAATAAGAAGTAGAACCATAACAGCAGGATACACCAAATTTCTCTCCCATGCTGAAGCCTTTTTTCGCCTCTCTATTAGAAAGAAAAACAAAATAAAATTTTCAGCAATTCCCAAAAATTCCCTCCAGGTTCATATTTTCATCACATCTCATTATAATGCAAACAGTATACATTATTTTTTTTATTTCTAGAAAACATAATTTTAGATAAACTGATTATAATTATCTTCTACAAACTATAAAAAATCCATGTAAAATCAGCTTACTAAATTAAAAGCTCAATCCTATGAGGCTTAAATTTCAGTTTGGTAAAGACAATTTTGCTTTCAAGGAAATCTATTGTTAATAAATAGATCACTTTTGGGTGACAATGTGTACTTGATACACATGAATATACTGATACAGGCAGATACTTGAGTGGATAAAAGTGTGTGAATAATAATAATTCCCTCTAATCTCAGGACAAGGGCTGAATACTTTGTTTTCCTAAGTGTGTGTGTGTGTGTGTGTGTGTGTGTGTGTGTGTGTAAGCAAACTTCCCCTTCTAGATGAAACAAACTACTTTATATCATACGTTCCCTGAGCTATGAACACTGGGGAAGAATTAAACTTCAAAACAGTTTTTAAATGTATTAGAGAACAAGTTATGGAAAGCAAGAGGGTAACACTGTGAGGTGATGGAGGTGAGTCCTTCCTGTGGGCATCCTCTCCCAGCAAGGGATTTTTCAATATGGAGTTGGCATGGGCCCATGAGTCTAAGAAATCAAGTGAAAGAGACAATAGCAAGGGCCTGGAGTGGCTCAGCAGTTAAGAGCACCTGTTCCTCAGGTTCTATGAGGACCTGCACACATGTGGCACACATACAGTCAAGTAGGTGTGCATACATACATACACACACAAACACAGGATTTTTTTTTTCCTTTATTTTTCCAAAAGAGGCAAAAGCAGCACTACTAAGGCAAAACTCTCAGGAAACCAACAAAGCCAAAGAGACCAAAACAAGGAGGCCGGAGCTACCAAAGCAGCTAGAAACTTGAGAGGGCAAAATCCCAGAAAAAAAGAAACAAAGAAGTAAGCCTGCTATGTTGATTCCTTCCCCCTCAAGGCCTCAGTAATAGAAAAGCTACGGGAAGGAATGGAGAGGTGTGCCTGAGAGGCCTAGATCAAAGCTGCCAGGCCCAACCTACAGTTCACTAGGAGGCAGAATCAAAACACCCATGCTTCCCTCAGGACCAATAAAAAGCAATACCCTAAGAATATAGACAGTCAGACAGCATATAGCCACTCTAACAGCCTACTCAAAAGATGTAAATATCCTACAATTTCTACAATTTTGTGTAATAAATATCCAGAAGTCAGTCAGACATTGCCAGGAGGCAAAGAAAAAAGAGAGAGAGAGAGACAACAGAAACAGAACCTCACTTGGTCCACATACTGCTTAATTGATAGTCAGTTCAATAAGTGACGAAATAACAGAACTCAAAAATAAATCTGAACCAATGAAAATAACCAAATAAAAATCATAGAGCTAAAAAATACTGTAACGAAAATAAAAACTTCAATAAAAAGTATAAACAACAGTTCTTGCTCAGCTGGGAGACACTAAAGTGAGGAACAGACTAGAAGACAGCATGAGGTGCAAGTGCACAGAAAAGAATGATAAAAGAATGGGGGAATCTAGTGTGTGTTTAACCAGAATCCGAAGAAATAAAAAAAAAAAAAATGGGACACATAAAAACATCTTAGAAGATAATGACCAACAGTTTTCCAAATGATGACATCATCAGGCCAGAGCCACAAAAGAAAGAGAACAAAGAAGAAAAGGCAGGCAAGTAGGCAGGCATGCACATGTGTGTGCACATGCAAACACACATACACATAAACATACACACAATGTTTAGGACCCTGGACTTCTGATCCTGGGAAGTACAATGGCCTTGGCAAACAGAGAACAACAAGAACCTAAATGACCCAGCTCAGCACCCTGGAAGTTTTCAGATCATGCTGCTGGGAGAAGGAACCAAGAAAAGTTCAGCTCGTTCTACCATGAAAACATGAAATGTGAGTCTGAGAAGACTAACTAGTAAGTCTTCAGAGACAAGACTTCAGGGCAAAGAAAGAACACTAAAAGTCTGCAAAGATACTTAACTCAGGAATTCAACTCAGATATGGAACAGTCATGGCTCAAGACAAACATGACGGGATAGTGACTGACCACTGCGTGGGCCACAAGGAGAGATGCCACTCAGCAGGGCAGGTGCCCTGTAGCAACACTGCTCTGGTCCAGCCAACGAGATTTCAAAGCTAGGGAACTGAATCAGTTATTGACATTCCAAACCAAAGTTTCTTCCTCCCAGGGATGCAAAAAAACTCCAGAATCCCAAAATGCCTATTTTCCCATCAAAAACTGCCAAGCATATGAAGAAGCACACACAGAAACAATACTATTTTAAAAAATAGTCATTGGAAACTTATCAAAAGCTAACAAAGACGGCTGGAGAGATGGCTCAGAAGTTAAGAGCATTGGCTGTTCTTCCAAAGGTCCTGAGTTCAATTCCCAGCAACCACATGGTGGCTCATAAACATCTATAATGAGATCTGATGCCCTCTTATGGTGAGTAGGTGTACATGCAGGCAGAATCTTTTTTTTTTTTTTTTTTTTTTTTTTTTTTTAAGAGCTAACAAAGATGTCAGAATTCACAGGCAAAGATATTAGAAGTGCTCTTGTCTTACTTAGGGCTTCTAATTGCTATGGTATACAACATCATGACCAAAGTAACCTGGGGAAAAAGGGGTTCATTTCAGTTGTAGTCCATTGTCATAAAGAGAAATCAGGAGAGTAATTCAAGGCAGAAACAATGCAAGTGGGACTAACAAGATGACACAGTGACTAAGGGCATCTGCTACCACCTGACAAAGGCCATATGGTGGAAGGAAAGAACGTACTCCCGCAGGTTGGTCTCTGACTTGCACACAAACTGAGAGGCATGTGTGCACTCACATACAGGAAAAATCAACTCCACAAAAGCCCCAAATCTTTGAATATTAGTATATTTTAAAAGTAACACCAGGGACTGGAGAGATGGCTCAGTGGCTTAGAGCATTTTTTTGCTCTTCCAAAGGACCCAGGTTCATTCCCTATCCCCCCAACACACAAGACGGTTCACAACCATAGTTGACTCCAGTTCTAGAAGATACATAGAAAGACATGCAGACAAAACATTCATACATATTAAAAGAATTGATATTTTCTTTAAAATTTCAGAAAATATATACTTACCCTCTCCCAAAAGAAAGACTAGTCACTGACTCTAAACACAGAAGTTTTTAACATAAACTAAGTTTTCATAAATTTTCAAATATTTTAAGACTATTTTACAGTCTTAATAATTAACCAAGACCAACAAATAAACCAAGAAAAAAAAGTACAATACCTAATTTTGTCTTAAGGGTCTTTACTTTCTCAAGCTCTTTCTCCAGTTCCATTATGTTGTATTCCACTGATGACGACAGCCCTATCAAAGCAAAAGTATTTTTAAGTGTAGCAGTGAAAGCCTTAATGCTAGAGAACAGGCCGACCACAGGTTAAAATACAAATCATTCTGAACTCACTGATGGCTGGGAAGAACGAATGCTGCTTGGAGTCATGTAACAGCACACTATTAGAACAGTGATTCTCAACCTGTGGGTCACAAACCCTCTCAGGGTTTAAATGGCTTTTTCATATGGGTTGCATATCAGATATCTCATGTATCAGATATTTACATTATGATTCATAACTAGCGAAATTAGTTACGAAGTAGGAATGAAAATAATTTTCTGGTTGAAGGTCACATGAGGAACTGTATTAAAGGGTCACAGGATTAGGGAAGTTGAGAATCACTGGTTTAGAGGACCCAAGCTCTTGATGACCGAAGACATTTCTTAGGAAAATGTCCTTCCTTCTCTACATATTAATCTTTTTTCATGTGCTTACCAGAGCCAGTACAATCAGTGAAGATATTCTAATCTCCAGTGTGCCTCCCTTAGACGACAAGTATCACCAGAGTGACTGCTGCTTCCACAGCTTTCTTCACTTTCATATTTAACTCTTTCTTTCATGAGTTTTCTCACTCATGCAAATCCTTATACAAATGTCAAACCCGACATATCAGTTGACTGTTTGCTGTTGCCTGTCAATAGCTATTTCCTAACAACGAGTGTGCATGCCACAATCTGGATGTACCTCAACTTCCCTCAGCGGCACTGCACTTGTCAATATTCTAGCAAACATTAACGCAGGCAGTTCATTTGCTTCTATTATTTCTGTGAGACAGACTTCCAAACCTCAGAATGGTGGCCCATTACAGATTTAAGAGCTTTGTAAAGTTTCCATTGCCCAAATGTTTTTATGTACTATAATAATTCAAATTATTGTAATGGTTTTAAGTGCTATCAATAGCTCTTGAAAATTCCCATTTATATATCATTAGCACTGGATGTGGCCAAATATTGAGTTTTTGCCAAAGTAATGGGCTACTTAAACGCACGCACATTTTCCTGCATGCAACACACCTCATGTTTCTCGTGTGGCTTTCCTCTATTTCTACTTTCTGCTTGTTTCTCCAATGGTCTGTGTATAGTATCTTCCTATTCTTTCTGCTTGATATACTTAAAATCTGAAACAAATAAATTGAAATCCCCAGATAGAAATGTCCCAGATTAGGCTTCCTCCATTATTAAGGGATTATTTTCATTGTGAATGTGTATTTAGCTGCTGAGGGTCTCCCTTATTATATCTCCAAGATTGTTATTTTTTTTCTTATACAACATATATTTTATCATTTCATTATAACCATATTCTTAAATGTTCTACAATTTAAAGTATGTTTTGAGAAGTTTTAAGTTTTACTTCCTTTTTTTTTTATTTGCTACGAATATGTGTGTGTTTCACTGTAATCATTACCTAGCTAAATCTTATTTGAAGTTTAATCTCTATCAGTTAAGAATTCATTGAGATACAAAGGGAATAATCTGTAATTAATAAAAATAAGAATAAAATATTATAAATTAAAAAAAAAAGAATTCATTGGTGATAAACAAATGAACTTGACTCCCTAGTTTAAAAAGCAAAGCAATTCACAGGATAGGCCAACAGGAAACCTTCCAGTAAAGGTTAGCCCTGGATGCATGTATATACAAGGAAACAACGTACACCCAGTAGGTTATATATACATTTGTGAATATGTCTGTTTACATGTAACAATAATAATTTAAAAGATCATGAGTTTGGGAGGATGGAGGAATTGGAGATATAAAAGGCCAGTAGATGAAATGCTCATGTATGAAATTCTCAAAAATAAATAATTCTGTCACAGAAGTTTGGGGAACAGAGAAGGCCCTGAATGAATGAAGTCTTGAGTGACTGTGTGTTGCTCATATAGGCACAGCCATGTCAAGGACGGCAAAGCTTCAGACCCATGGGAAAACAAATGGCAAGGCCATTCTTCCTGGTCCAAGTGCAAAAGTTTATTGTGAGTGCAGAAACTGTCCACCATAGCTTTCTCTCCCAAGATTATTTACAACCTGAAGACTGCTCCCCTGCAGAGACAGCTCCTACTCAGATTAACTAAACCTGCCTCCTTGTTCAACTATATACAATAACTTTCACCTCCCTACTCAACTTAATGTAATAAACATACAGGGGTTTTGGTTTACATTGGTTTCCCCATCAGAGAGGCCAGTCCAGCCAAATCCAACTTCTTTCTGTGATGTCTGTCTTTTCTTCATTGAAACTTAGAAATTAAAAAAAAAAAAAAGGCCAGAATGACAAGTAAAGTAAAAAAGGTAATAATGTTAGAAACCCCTTCAGCAGTCAGGTCTATCCCTGGAGCCTTGATGAACCCAGAACAGCAGGAAGAAGTCAACCCAATCACCTGGACCTTTACATCACGACTCCAGAATAAAAGCTTGGGAGTACTTCCTGTTTGAGTTAGGAAAGGGGAGAAAAAAAGGAAAATTGCAAAGCTTGGGCTTTATCAGAGAAATGGCAAGCACAGCCTGGAACAAGATGATATCCTAAGTAGCCCTCCCTTATTCATTCTGTCTTCTGCCACCAATTTATCCTAATTACATTCAGTAAAATGCAGTACCTGCATTCAGAATAACACAGTGCATCAGCTTTTCCACACTGTTACTTTTCAGTGAATTTTAAGTCTTACCCTTATCAGAATGAAGTGTGCACAAAGCTCAGAGTCAAACATTTACGTGGACTTGCCTCAATGCCTGCGTCTTCCTAAGGTCATCTCATCACGAGGTGTTTCCTGACTCTTCACACTTCATGGTAGCCAGGAAGGAGGGGGAACCACAGACAGGATGTCCTTCAAGGACAAGCTTCCAGCTTCTTGCAGCTAAGATTCACCTTCTAATACAGTGGTTCTCAACCTGTGGGCTGCGACCCTTTTGTAGGGGTCAAACGACCCTTTCACAGGAGTAACCTAACTCCATCACAAAACATATTTACATTGTAATTGATAACAGTAGCAAAATCAGTTATGAAGTAGCAATGGAAATAATGCTATGGGTGTGGGGGTCACCCCAACAGCAGGGACTGTATTAAAGGGCGGCAGCGTTGGGAAGGTTGAGAACCAGGGTGCAAAAAAAGCACTGTAAGCATTAAGCCTGTGGCTGCGGCACTGCTCTTGAGAAGGCTGCAGCAATTCTGTCCTCCCAGGGATGTCTGCTTGTCAGTGCCACTGTAGACTGTGCAGGATCTTTGTTGCCAGCGTTCTAGCTGTGAATACATACAGGCGAGGATTTTCAAAACCAAAATTCACACATCGTATCACAGCAGTTTCTTGATCCTGTCATTTTCTTTCACCATATCTTCTCTCTTAGCCATGTCTGCAAAGTGTGTTAGCTAGAGGCTAGTTCTACTGGAAAGGTCTTCAATGTTTCTTCTTCTTATGCTTTACTTTACTCTCGTCATTCTGGCTTAGTTTCTTGTTTCTAAGTTTCATGATCCCTTTCTGTCAAACTGGATGTCCCAGGTGATGGAGCTTTGGCTTTTCTCATGAAAGTGGCCCTCTTGTCCATTTGAGGGTATGAGGGGGTTCACCTTGAGCCATTCTTCCTCCATGTACCCCACATCTGCATATACATATCTGCTTGTGTTCACATGGGAGGCTTTCCTCAGTCACCGGAGTCTTGATTTGTTTACTTGTGTTTTAAAAATAAAGCCATTAGAAATACATGCTGATTTGATCCCAAACCTCCAGAGCGTCTTGACAAGAATTTTGCTTATAATATTCCAATGATTCTCTGTTGCTAGAGCTGTAGAGTCTTCTGCCAAGGCTGGGCAGGTTCCTAACAAAAATCTTCCTTATCTCCTTGTCAAAATAAAGTTCAACTGTGCAAGTGAAGGACGGGGCCTACGTATTTTGTCTGTAAGCACTCCCATCCTGCCAGGCCAGAGGCCCTCTGTTTATTCAGAAAGTAATCTTTACTCTTCTATGAAGATGGACAAAAGGCAAGTGCCTGGTACCTTGGATGGAAGCAATGAATGTGGAGATTAAGCCACTTCACGACTGTTTTCAATAGGACCTCCCTTTCTTAGTTCATGCTGCCTCATCTGGTGGTGCCACTTTGTGACTTTGGGAAACTCTAAAGTATGAATCAAGCATAGATAATTTAGGAATGGGCTCCTTTTATTCTGTTAAACTGGCTAATTCCAACATTTTCCTATTGACTAAATTACAAATTCTTACTGTGGTTTTCTCCTTGGAACTTTCTGACCTTAGGTTTATGTTTCTTTGAACCTCACTTTTCTATCCCAAGGAATGGCATGTACCTATCAGGATGTTTTCCACAAGTCACAAAAATCAAAGTAACTTAAAAATAAGGAAATAGTTTCACATAATTAGAAGTCAGGAGACAGAGCAAGCTTCCATGTGGTTTTCCAGCAGCTCAACAGTGACATCAAGGGACTAAACTGTGCCTCCCACGTGCTAGACTGTGTGAGGCCTGGGGCTTTTCCCTCTAAGGAGGGCAACTATGTGGACTGTTTACTATACTTTTCCTTTATTTCTTCTTTTCCTTCTTTTTTTCCCAGCTACATAGATTTTTGTTGATTCTTCCCCCAGATTCACTGGGTACTGCAGTGCTTACCATTTGTAATTCTCCTACTGAGACAGATTTTTCACTGTATAAACAACCTTAGTCTATAGCCTGCTTTTCTGTATAGCGTTCTGTGTCAAGATGAAACTCTTACAACCATGTCAGCTAACCATTTCCTCACTGCTTCTCACCCCCTTCCTCCAAATCCTCATCTTGCCAAAATATTATTTTAAGACTAAAGCTACATTTTCCCTTCAGCATAGAAGTTACAATACTGTCTGCCATAAATTCAGTTCTTAATGAAAGAGATGAGAAATGAATACATGAATACTGTTTTTAGCCCTACTAAATACATAACATCTTAGGGAATGTGTGTGTAACTCTTCACAACTGCATATGACATTTAGTGACTTGTAACAAG